TGTTGGGGCTACTATGGGAATTCATAGAAAGTCATGTTACACCTGCCAGCCTTTCAAATAATATCTATGGTGTAGGTGTACAAGAACGGGTCCAGCATTTCAAATACCTCTTGATATCCTTGAAAGTATATACAACACAATTACAGTTCACTGAACACCATCAATTATATGGGCTTGTAATTAAAGACATATGTTTCTGATGTTAAAAAAAACCCGGAATACATATTATAAATAGCTTTATCATTTAAATTAGGAAGTATCTAACATTATAAGTATCCTAATAATGATACTATGAAATAATTCAAAATAAAACGCTATGATGTTATTTTTAACAGTCCATTTATAATGTCAGCTGATATATACACAATCCCTACTGAAATACAAAATGAGGACGACCCGGTTAATTTTAAAACAGAAATGAAAAAATATCCTAAATTGTGCTATTATTCAATAGAGTTTTTTCATATGTACAAGATATATACAAAATAAATATAAAAATTTTATATTGATATTAGTCTCAAATTAGTTTATCAATCAATTTAGGATTCTCAAATTCAAAGATTTACAAATTCATTCGATGAATGAATAAATGGATCGATGGATGATATTTGTTACTCTTTCACGCAAAAACTACTGAACGGATTTGAATGAAATTTAGTACACGGGTAGGTTATATCCTAACTTAAAACATAGAATATTTTACATATTGATTAACGCGGGCAATGTCGCGGAATATAACTAGTTTATATTCAAACATTGGTAAATAATCTTACTTTTTATCAATCTTTTTACTAATAAAATTAAATTAAGAAAACACAATATCAGTAAGCACATAGGAAATATTTAAGGAAAATTTATACAAGAGATCTTAATAAGAACAATAGTCAAAACAATAAAGTAATAATAAAACTCTTCATTATCTAAGTAACTATAATTAACTCTAATTATAAAATTTTACTCTAATTGTAAAACTTTAATATATATAATATTAATTAATTATAATTAATTAATAATAATAATGTTTACATTTTCAAATGTCCTAAGGAATCTCACCTGCCTTGCTAACCTTTGATATGACCAATTAACAAAGATAACGTTCTACGCGACTTCAAGGTGATTTCATACAATCGAGGGGCTTCATTCAAGCTATTTCACACAATTTACTTGCCCGATTCTGATAAAAAAAATCTTGTTTGGATTAATGCATAGTCAGATATAATAGTAAAATGTCAGTATTTCTGCACACGTTAAAATATTATATGTCTACAAGGCGGACTTAATACCTGATGGCATTCTCTACCAGTCAACCATCACATTAAACAGAAAGAGAATGTTCAAGAAGGGACTTTTTGAAGGAAAATTTGATTAGGGACTTTTTGATATCAATAGGCAGTGCATTCCAAAGGTTAATGACTGAGATGGTAAAAGATATATATAGTATTTATATTCCCAAAGAGGGTTGACGTCAGGCAGGTGGTCGGTCGTAAAACTAAAAACCAAATCTTTTTGTAATATGGATAAATCCATATTACGCCGACCCCAAATAATTGGGATAAGGGTAGGAAGATGATGATGATCTATATAACACATATTATTATGATTTTGTCTACATATGATTATAAATTTCTGTATATGTTAATTGTGAATGGTGTCTATATACTAGTAGTAAATTTTAATAGGTATGTACAATAATTTAAACTAATAGAATAATAAATTTACTATAATATCAGTTACCTACCTGAGTAGCTTTTGCTATAAGTACTAATTTATTATAATGAGGAATCACACATCAATAAATAAATAAATAATCACACAAATGATTATTTATTTATTTATTTAGGTTCACCAACAATTGTTTTCACAAAATAATGTAAATATATATACAATTATGGTGCTTAGAACTAAGTGTAACAGTTTTTTATAGGCAAACACAGCATATATTGATACATTTATAATAATAAGTATAGAGAAATATAGATAGCTTACAACTATTATTAAATGCTTAACAACTAACAACTAAAGCCACCATATCCACAAGCAGATCCAGCAGCACGACCCATTTTATATATTTATAGATATTTCGTACAAAAGCAATTGGACTATCAAAATTAATATCGACCTGGTCATTGCAGCTATATATAGTTTTACACAACCTTACTATTGGAGAATTACTACCCAGAACAGTTCTTCTAAATGGAGGTATTAGCGGAGTTATAGGTTCACGAGGTAATCACTCATAATAATGTCTACAACTACTCAAAAGATTTGAAAAGAAAATATATTAATAGAACCCTACAGAATCCTTGAATATACGTTTCGTAAAAACATTAATTAGAACTGGAAATAAAGGAGAAAACAAATATAATAAAAAATAAGAATTCATTATGAATAATATAGTTACGTATTTCTAATAAAAAATCTGTACCTACCCTTTTTAATAAAATTAGTATTGAACCATATGTACAGTATACCTTTTTCAATACGAGCAAAGATATTACGTAACAGATGCAAAATAAAAATTACATTCGAATTAACTTCCCCCTTTTTAAGACAATTAAAAATAATCTGTTAAATTATAAAATCGCTCAAGGTCTCATACTCGTATATTCGCAGCGGAATGATTTTATGATAATTAATTAATTATAGGTATTATATAAGCAGGCAGGTATAACTCATTGTTCTTACCAAATACGAACCCTTTACCTCTCTTAACATTAATCCTTCATAACCACAAACAGCCTATGAGTGTGAAACAAAACATGTACTCGTCATAAAGCGCCCATTACACGATCAATTCCATCTGTCTAGAATGTAATTATTATTTTTAACCGCCTTCAAAAAGTTCTTAATTAGGTTGTATTTTGTTTTTTTTTTTTTAATTCATTACCTCATATCTCCGCCATTTATAAACCTATTGAAAAAAATGAAGTCGGTGTTTTTTTTTATGAAACAAAAAAGAATTTTTAAATGTATTAAATTTTATGTTTTTGTGTTAATTGCCTGTGTCCAGTTAATATATAAATGAATAATATAGTTATAACATAGCAATGTTAACAAGGTGTCGAGCCACTTGGATTAAATATGATAATCGTCGGTTAAAAATGTGACTATATCTTGAAAATTACAGACTATATGTGTTATTCCGTGATATAAAAGACCCAGGCAAGTCACAAAATATTGTAAGACCAGACAAAATGTTTCTGATCGAATGACTATCGTATCTCAGCTGAAAAATTGTTTTTATTATATTCGTATATTTATTTGAAGTTTGTTCAATTATTTTTATCTATATGTCTTAACTAATATGAAGAACATATTTTCTCTTAATTGTGTGCAGAGTAAACACTACGGAATAGAATAAAGATTATTGTATTAATGTGTAAGTATTAAATTACAAAAAAACTAACTGACTAAACTTATGGAAAATAGTGATTATTATCTCAAAATATGGAAAATCTCATAGACAACATGGAATACACTTTTTTTTATTTATAACTTTATTGAGCAAATGGAAATATAGTACAAAAGGCGGACTTAATGCTAGTAGCATTCTCTTCCACTCAACCTTCGGGATGAACAGTGAATCACGCGACACTTCATTATCAGAATAGGTAATGTTAATAACAGGTATTCTTACCAAGCACGGTATGCATTTTTGCGTTATTATTTCTGAGGATTAGGATGTTATGACGTCATAATTTGTAATTTCACTACCATATATCAATCACTTAATTTCTTTTACTCTTTTTTTTTTACATAATATCTCCAGATATTTTGACATTAGTTCCGGTAACACTGTTCATGACTGACGGAAATGAATGATCATGTAATATGTGCTTAAGTGACGTGAGATTAAAATTGAGTTAGATGAACCTACCGTCAAGTGTTTTGGGTTTACTGTAATCTCTCAAAGAGCCATGAAACATGTTATTTAGTAATTTTTGTATATAAAATAAATCCGTAAAACTTGGATGGGGAGTAGAGTAATTTTATATATTTTAATAAGTAAATACCTTTAGAAGTAGTTAATTTTAAACTTTCGCGTTATTTAGACATATTTTAAATTTATAATTGGGATTTCAACGTGGTATAATCCACGCCAAAACTTCGGCAGTAAAAATAGAGTATATAGGTACTATTCACCTGTAATCGCGCGAATTAAATCCCGACCGTGAATTTAAAATACCTTTAGAAGTAATTGACAATGTCAATTTATTCAAAATGTATGGTCACGGCAACTCTATTCATACAGACCTTGCCACAGAAACAGCTAGTATTTTGTACCATTCATACATAAAACTATTATGCAATTTATGAAGATAAATTGGGCAAGTGAACTCTAATATTTTTTTCGTTTATAAATTGCAGTTACTGCAGTATTTCGTATCCATATCAAATTTTATCGATATTAGAACTTAAGATAAAGAGTTTTAAAAGTACCCAACTAATAATTGCTAAGTACCTTACTAATTATAAATTATTTCTTCTAATTGGTAAAAAACAAAAAAAATAACCATAAATAATAATAATTGGTCATTTAAGTTATTATTATTGGTTTAATATTTGCATTCATTGAGAAACTAAACTGCTTTTCTTGACAGTTAATCAATAGACGAAATCAAACAAATAGACAATTAAATATGGATCACACAATGGATTTGTAATAAGGAAACTTCGAATATTAATTCCAATCTATCAAAAATTCCCAGTAATGGCAGTACAAGAGGTGTTTTGCGATATCATGGACGTCACAGTATTCTGTATATTTGTTTGTGTTACTAAATTGGAAAAAAAAATTATCAGTACAAAAATTGTTATAAGTATACTAAGCAAAAATTTATTTATTGTTATTTTTAATTATAATAACAATTATAAAGTTATCTATTCACATATATGTATATTATATTCATACTTGTTTTAAGTAACACGCAATTGAGGTAATTAGAACAAAAAAGAAAAGAAATCGTAATAAGCTAATGAACCATTCATAAAATACTCACCTAATGTAATATATAGTACAATAAAAAAATTATAACACGCATCAATACACCCATACACAACACGTGAGATCATTAACATACGAGTATTGTTACTCTCACTGTGAGATATTTACAATCACCAGCTTCCAATAGGCAATTACCGTTCACGATGTTCGATCATTAACAGATCGTAACATTGGATAAACATTATTTAAATCGACAATTTACAACAACCATTTACAATTCAGGCGAAAAGTACTGCACATATCACTCGGACCCATATTTGTAAATAAACGGTAGCACACTGTTTGAATGTTTGTTTATAAACTCGACGCACGCCAGTGTACCAATAAAAAGTGTGGAAAAGCAGGCGTAACGTTCGAGTTGTGAAGAGAGACTGGCGTGCGAATCGTGAACGTGTACTCCAGGCGAGGTGGATTAAACTAAGTACAGTTTTTAATCCATTTTTATGGCATGTATACATCAAGTATTGTAAGAGGAAATATAATTATACAATCTATTTTATGTCATATATAAATATTGTCAGAGTATTAAACCGAATCTCTTCTATCAAAGTAATAAAAAGTATAACACTCATACTAACTCTTTCAAATCATTCAGTAAATAGAGAGCTTGCTTTTCATTTTTTAATTTATTAAATTTAAATAAATATATTATATTTAAATTTATTAAATTATTATTTGTTTTGTACCTACATACGTGCACATTAGAATTACCTGCATTTAAACCGCAGATAAAAAAACAGTACCAACAAAATGTTACAGGTAAAAAAGAACAAAATAATGATAAATTAAATCTTCAAAGAAGCAACAAGTTTATTTCAGTATTATTCACCACAAAATTAACAAGTTATGACGAAAACTTAGCATTAATACTTAGTGTTTATCTATATTCATGCCAATTACTTAAATATTTATATATGTTGACACCTTAACGTTTATAATATTAAACTGCAAGTACTTCACTCCATCTCCCATTAAAGTACTTCGCCCAGATCCTATGCGATTCTCCACGTCTGAATACTTTTATGTGCTTAAATATTTTTAAACAATCAATACATAGTCTAATAGAAAGAGCAAATATAATAATTACAAAAAATATTTACAAAAATGAACACTATCAAAATTCAGAAATGTATAACTTTTTATATAGGTGACGTTTACCGGAACGATTTTATAAAAGATTAAAGACTATTATATTTTTATATTTTATTCTGTGTTCCTCGGAAAAAGTTGACTCAGAATCTTAGCAATTATCTAATTTTTCTACTAACTATATTTTCTTCGACTCTATATAATATTAAAAAAAATTTGATTATGAAGTAATTATATGTATGAAAATACAAATGTAATCAATATACACATGTACAAGTACAGTAGATAGATACATAAAGATCTGTGATATAACCATCAAAATTATTGGTGACTGCAGATTAACATACATTAACCAATAGTTAATTATTGGATATGTCGGTCACTTTACATATAATGAACAATCAACTCCGCATCATTGACATATATTGATTCAGATCGGAATTAATGCAGCTATTGTTCTTCTCTATTCCAGACACTCTGCATATGTTAAATTTTATGACAATTAATTTTATTGTACCATTGAGGCGTCAAAAGGTAATAAACAAGTACGTTCACATTTACATATTAATAAAGATGTGAAAATTGAAATATAATAGAGTAAATTGCGAAAACAGCTATCTTAATTGACCACTATTTAAAACGAAGGAACTCGCTGGAAAGAAATTGTCGATAATATAAACGGGGGACATTTTGATAGCAAAAGGGAATAGCTATCTGAGAGTGACGAAGGCAACGAGTGGAGCGGCCGAGGACTGTTAGAATATTCATGGTATGCTAACGAATGTAGAACGATAACAAGGTTCCACGAGGAATCAGGAAGAGTCGCAATAGTTTTCATGAATCTCAATTTGCTGTTGTTTATTTCATCACAATATAATATTGTTATCGGGCTATTATCTTTCTACCTGAAAAATTTAATATTAAGAAAAGAACAATATTATTTACCATGAAATACAGAGTTAACATATTTATTGCCAGAAAGAAGTAATAATTTTGCAAGTCACTCTTCGAAAGTATGTAGAGTCTGAAATTTTTGTGAAACATGTAGCTAAATTTTAATAAATTGAAAATACGTATTTTTTAAACAGTTTGGTATTATAACACAAGTTAAAATATTTTTTTTACCTGAAAACTGAAGAAAAGAATGTAGTATTTTTTTGTAGCACTTGTGTAAAGAAAAGATTTTTTCGAGTGTACACATGTATGTGTATATCATTTACCAAAATTTAAAAGTTACAGATGTATGACATGTGGACTTCAACTTCTGGTCAAAATTATCAATAATTTATATTTTTCCAATGATCATATGTATTTATATCCATTTGTAAATTCACTTATAGTATTAGGTTATAACAAAAATGTACATAAGCGGACTAATCACTTAAAGAGATCCTATTATTGGGTATATATTTAGTGAAGTCATTTTTCCAGGTCTCTGTTCCTGTTTGTTCATACTTCATTTTTTAGATTCACATTTGTATCTTTATTATTCACACATTTCAACTTGCCTCACTCTATTCATCTTCGTCATACCCGAACCCTTTTATTTTTACTCATATTCTTGATCTTACAAATGTTAGACATTATTTGCCTTTCTGTATGTTTATATGCATGTCACACGTTATGAAACATTTTCATTAGCATTATTTGTATATACAATAATACTGCTCTAATTAGCGACTTCTTTCACATGAATCAATACATAAATTAGTTAGGATGCAGAATTACTGTGTACCAAATATTTAATTTATTCCTTTCAGTTACAATTCAGATTTTACGTAAAATTGTAACAAATATCCATCCACCCATCCACACTCACAAACTTTCGCATTTATAATAGGATTATACAGGTAATACAAATCTTAATTCAGTAAACGGGTAGATTCAAAAGTAGGTAAAGTTTACGTTTTACATACATTAATGTACTTTATAGATATATAAAACAAGGGCGTTAATTTTCTGTTGTTACTAATTAATATTCATAGAAACGTACCAGGGGGTTATTTTTAAGTTGATAATTAATAAATTAAATAATTTATAACCGTACTCTGTTTAATATAATAGACATGATTATGCATATAACTAATTATACAAGTACTATTTTTGTAAGTCAAATTAGGTAAGCTATTTCGCTGAACAATAGTGTATATTAACGCCCGTGGAATACTAGGCCCTATTAAACTATGTTATTATACTTTTTCAACTACCCAACGAATTAATATTAATGTAAATTAAATTGGGAGATCTTTTTATACGATAAAAAAAAATTAACACATAACTGTAGCAGTTTGTTAATTCATTTCACGATGAACTTTTAATTCTTATTATACTGTTTTAAATTTTGTAAGTCCATTATTTTATTTTATTTTTTATTAATAGAATATGGGGTTGAAAAACAGCAAAATATTTTGAGTATCTAATACTAGCTGTTTCCCACGGCTTTGCTCACATGATATAGTATATATATCTGTCCTATGTGTAACCTACAGTTTGTCAAACTTTATTCAAATCTACCTATATTTCTTTTTTTTTTTTACACCACTAAAGTTGCAAACAAACATACTGTCCTATAATTAATGATAGTAAGCGGTTACTGTAGCCTATGACCGCCTACAATACCAAAGGCATTACTTGCGCCTTGCTAACTCCGAAGAAACCTCTTTACCCCTTTTTTGAAGAACTCCATGCAGTTGTCTCTTGGAAAAACCTAGACAGGGAGCTCATTCCATAACCTGAGCGTTCGTGGGAGAAAACATCTGAAACCGCGCTATACGCGACCATTTAGCCTCTAAGATATGAGGGTGAACTCCCTATCGATGGCGAGCTTTCTTTTGTTTTAATGGGTGAAAATTGAATAGCAACCTCGCCTGGGCTATTGGTATACACTGGCGGTGCACCAATAATAGATGATAGGTCAGAATGAAAGCAGGTCAGTCGGCCCATAGTAAAGAATTTAACAAGAAGTAACCACTTTGATTTCCAAGGGGAACCGCGTGGAAGTCGACCTGATAAAGTATATTGCTAGCAATAGAACTGTTAGAACACATTACTAATAATCTCTTTCCTCCCGTCGATGGCGAGCTGTACGATGGTAGAAAGTGGCCGTAGGTATCATATTGAACAATTCCTCTGAGCACAGTCCGTTGTACAATCTTCATTCAAGGATAGATTGCTCCCTTAAAACGATGTTAATAATCTCAATTTCAGCGTCATACATCTACTGTACACGTGTTGAAACTATGTTACTACAAAACCCTATAACATACAACACAACAACATTATCGGGGAGAACTAATTTACTAGTTTCAAAAGCCAATTAATTTTATGATACCAACGTCTGCAAATCTCATATTTTAATCTAGTACTTATCTATTTATGTTTACTCGCCATACATATTTACTTATAATTCATACATGTATGCGTGTATATGTAAATAGTTCTCGATCATCTATGTTACTAATATTATAAATTTAAAGATATGGTCCCGGTATTGGATAGATTACCCCTTCCTTTCCCTTGCTTGTCGTAAGAGGCGACTAAGGCAACTTAATGGTAGAGGGATGGGCAGTAACGTCTCTCTTAAAGCCTAGCTACGGCAATCCGCATGCCAAGCGTAGCAACTACTGGCAAACTCCCCTTATGAGGAATGCTCAAGCCATCGCCAAGGCCTGGTTACGATTGCCAATCCATGTGCCAAACTTTTGGCAACCCCCCCCCCCCCCCCTCATAGAGATGGCCTATACTCAGCAGTGGACAGATAAAACCTGATAAGATGATGAAAGGTGATAGATAGATAGATAAGTGCTTTTTATTGTTTCCTCTAAAAGATTACAGAAGTAAACTTATTATAGATACATACAATTACAAGAAACGTCGCACTGAGATAACAATGGGCGGTCTTATCGCTAATAGCGATCTCGTGAGTTTGTTTGTACCTCTTAGCGATTCGAGGGTCCAATTCTTTTAATCGTTATGAAACTTGGCATACATGTAGTACTTACCTATTTGAGATATAGAAGAACATAATAAGTTCTTATTCCAGTCAATCAAAATATGTTGATCACGCGCAATAAAAAAATTACACTAACTAGGTACCAAAACAGTTTTTTTTAATGGATGTTAATGGAATGGTAACCTAGCCTGCCCTGTCGGTATACACTGACGAGGCATCAGTGAGGGATGATTGGTGAGGATGAAAAGGCAGATCAATTAGCCCATCCTGACTAATTCAACAATAAATTAGTCACGATGGTTTCCAGGGGGAACCGCGTGAAAGTCGACCTGATAGAAGAGTGTATTGATAGCAATAGGGGCTAAGCTCTTAATTACTAACAATCTCTTCTCCCCACCAAAATGGTTTATTAAATACCTACTTTCTTAACAGATAATCATATATTATTATATTACACATAGTATTATATTTATCTGTAAACTATTTAATAATTAGCAATAGATAGATCGTACCTAGAACTCGGTACAAGCCTACACAGGTACAGATTATAAAAAGTGTAGTGTATTACAACACTATAAGTGTAAATATACATTAATGATCACACTTGCACACACTACATTGCAGTGTAAAAAACCACCAGTGGTCTAATGACAATTCGGAACGTATTGCTCTATCTACCCGTGAGTATTGAACGACTGGTAAGAAAATATGTTACCTTTTTATCTATACTGTATAGAGTAATAACAACTACCTAGTGACATATAAATAGCGAAATAATCAAGTCTCGCACAACTACAACTTAACCTACAATTTCCAAGTGAAAGGAACTTGGGCGCAGGTACATACCTTTATCGAGTCTTAAACATTGCAGCATTGATATAAATTCAATGAAATCTATTTTTAGCAAAATGTAATAAATACGTTGAAACACGTAAAGATATCTATCCTTACTAATATTATAAATGTGAAAGTGAATTCAATCAATCAATCAATCAATGTTCGTTTGCACCTTAAATGCTTAGCTAATCACTATGAAATTTGGTATACACGTACTGTATAATATGGTGAAGGACAGTTAGTGTAAGAACATATCTCGGTTACGCGGACAAAGTCGCGTGTAAAAACTAGTAAATAAAAGGTTTAGTGATGTTCTGGATCCGTGTTACTCACTTCTTAAGAATTCCCCAACCAATCTATTAGATCTTATTAATTGATGATAATAAAATTTAAAATAATTTTCAAAATGGTGATTAAACAATAGAAAACTGCATTTCATCCTGGAAATGTAGTATGAGGCAAGAAAACACTATACAATAAAGAAAAAGAAACCTCTCAATAAATGCTACATATATAAAATCTATAGATACTGTCTCCTATTGGGTTCGCAAGGTTGACTGTAAGAAATCCTTTCAAGGAATAAATCTGCTTTTGTACATCTTCATTAAAACCTACTTGTAATATCTATATTAGAAATAAATGTGCCAAAGCAATTACACAAATAAATAAAATATTACACTAAGTCAAGTAAGTAAGTGGCAATGGGCTGGTCACATAACTCGAAGAACCGATAACCGATGAGGAAGAAATATTCTTAAGAGGCTATCAGCAACGACCACGCAGTGTAATATGACCCCCCACTAGACGAATTGACGATCTCGAATGCATTACAGATAGTCAGTGGAAGTAAGTGGCTCAAGACCGTTCCTTATGGCAGTCTATAGAGGAGGTCTATGATCAGTAGTGGACAGATAATGGCTGATATGATGATGACGAAGCGAATTAACAGCAGGCTAATATACTCCTTACACAAGGGGAGACCCGGTCTCCAGTGGTGTGAATATAAATATTATTAATGATAACAAAATCAAAATTATTTGTATGAGTAATTTCCTTAAAACCTGTTTAGTTGTGACTCCTATGTAGGTACTTTCTTGGTGTAAATTCCTCATGATAATGTCAAGATACGTCAGTGGATACTTAGTCATTAGTCCAATCAATACGGGTATTCCCAGCAAGCCGTGAAATCAAATATATTGTTTTGCATTTATATTTGTATCAGGCGTTTCGTAACTTAGAACGGGTATAATTGAACTTTAAAATGACTACAGACTAGATCACAAGTATGCCTCTATAGACTGAGCGTCAAATGTCAGAAACGCTATAAAAACAATCAACTAACTATTAACTAACGCAATTTTTTTGTACGAAAATCTAAAAGTATAGTATTCATAATATACCTATGACATATATGACAGTTTATGTGATAAAAGCAACTAATTACAATTTTAACGCAATTTATACCAGATCACTTAAACTTAAGTTATAATAATCGAAAATAAGGCCCTTTTTAAAAATATCTGGTCGTTTTTGTCAACACTCTATCTGAATGTTGTTTTTTTTTTTTTATATAAAAAAAGGCATTTATAGGATTAGTGTAAAGATAAATTCTAAACATTTCAATTCCAAAAATGAGATTGTCTATCCTCTCAAATTAATATTAATAATGGTTTCATATTGTTCTGATAGATTCACATTAGTGTAACTTGCCAATGCAAACTATTGCAAACCGATACTAAATTTAACCTAATTCCTAATTATTATTTAATAAGTGCAGTAATTGGTATTGAAAAAAATACATTCAAGAATAGACCTGCTGATATAGACCTTTACAAACATAAGTTTCTTAAAATAAATGTAAGGTAAAAGTTATTGGTACACATTAATATGTTGTCGCGAACAATGTCATCACACGAATAAGACGAGACTTGTTGAAAGTGGGTCATTGGGCGACGACAAAGGGTAGCACATTTGATATTCTGTTACAACTCTTTGGTAACTTTCTAAATAAGCAAGTGCATGTTAAGTTACCTATATTTATTTGATATAAAGTTTTTCTGAAAGTAGTATTAAAAGAAGACGATTTTATTTTGTGTGTGTGTGTGTGTAAATGTATGTATATAATGCTGCATGAATTCTAAACCTGTTATTGTGATTTATTTAATAATATATAAAGTTCCTTTACATTTCACACTAAACGTTCCTTTATATTAGTGTCATAGCCATTACTCGCAATTAATTTAAAAAATTATGTATACAGAAATATTATAATTTTATGCCAATGATATGATGATTAACTATATATTACATTTACATTAAAAATAAACTAATAAGTAGATATTGTTTTAAAAACAAAAAAAAGTGGCAAAACTAATTATTTTAAATTAGAACCAAGCTCTCGAATGGATATCGATCAATTTTCTATGGGACCAATCTGAAAGTTTTTTTTTTTTTCAAATAAAAAAAAATTATCCTAATCAACTTATAAATGATAAACTTCTAAGGTACTAAATAAATACAACCGAATTGAAACATCTTCCTTTTTTAATGTGGGTTAGGTAGATAGATATTTAGTCATTATACAAATACTTTTATGAACCAAATACGAAACGCTACTGTATGACTTTGACATACATTTGACAAAATAACAACAACTGTCATTGTCATTGTCAAGTCAGAGTTATCAATTGTCAAACGACAACGTGAGAAAATTTATTTATTTTTATTTTTTCTCTTTAACATTTATACATTATTTACGTTATTTAAACAATTTTTATGACTTCATGCTGTTGTAATAAAAAGTAATATACAATGACTGCTGAAGTAGCAACTCGTTCTAAAGATTGTACGCCGTGCAGACTATTCGGAGCCGCTGGTTTGGTGGGTATTGGCGGATATTTAGCAAATGCTGCGTGGAAAAACAAAACATTTGCCGGGAAATACACTGTCTCAATTCTTTCCTTTGGTAAGTAGGCGTTACCCAAAGTATTAAGGATTATAAGTAGGTTACACAGTGAGTATCTACGTAAAAGTTTTTTATTAGGCACTATAGTAAAACATGATACAATAATAGTTACATAAATTTACCAGAAGACCTGTAGCACTTATGTTTCTAATAGTGCATTTCTATAGGTTACCACTTCCAAATTCATCCAATAAATCATTATAAATAAGTCAAATAATAAATCAAGTATTTTGAATGTGTCCAAGTAATTTGGAACATGTGTTCAAAACTGTTTATTAAAGTGTTCCTATTTTTATATAAAGTATGAACACTCTTAATCCCATAAATAAATATCTGGGTGAAACTAATGTAAATAATTGTAATACATTACTATAATTCTAAACTTGAGTAGGTATTCTAGAAATAACCTAGTAAACAATTGGTTACCCGTACTGCCACCTACTAAGACCATTTTTTCTCATTAAGATTATCTTTATATCTAATTATCTAGAAGAAAATTTAGAAGAAAAATTATCTTTATATCTAATTATCTTTATATTATATTATCTCAATTAATACATATTTAGAAAAATATTAGAATGAATTGAGCAGTTTTAAAAATTGAGCATACAAACTTCATATGGGATTTTTGTATATTATATTATATATACTATATTATTATAAAATCTAGATATTATAGATTTTTTTTAATACTTGCAAAATATTTGAAATAAAATATTCAAGTCTAAATAATGCCTTTCTTCTGTTACAGGTTTCATCTGGCTTGGTATACAAAGATATAAACAGGCATTCCCTTTTAACAAAAAGGAAACTCAGAGTTAAATGATTAAAAACAACTCTTATTAGTAAAAAGTATATACTGTTAAGTATATTACATATATTCTGAAATATGTGATAATATATCATTAAGTCTTCAATGTAATAATAAAACATAAATGTATATCAACATGTGACCATTGTCACACCTTTTTGTTATATAATATTTATGAAAGGAGTGGAATGAAAGTTAAATATTTGAAAGCTATCAAAACCATACATGAACACAAAAAGTATTGAATGTTACTGGCAAAGCACATAAAAAAAATATAAATAAGTATTGAAATAATTTTTTTAGAATTTCGACCAGAGACAATTACTGGTAGGTAGATATAAATATGTAATATGCATAGTAGTATTTTGATGTGAATAATAAAGTTGATAAAATAATTCTAGTTGAAAGATATTAAATTCCTATTGCTCTTGTATAAAGACTATGATACTTATATTTATAAATAGACTAGTAGAATAGTGGATTAACATTTCTAATATAAAATTAGTTAAAAAATAAACTAGTCTTATAATTTATAGTTAATAAATATATTATATGTATCTATGTTTGGTTATTGTTCATAAATATCATAAAACCTCCTTTATTTAGTTTAATGTGATTTGTGGTTTATTAAAATAATAGGTAAATATATTAGATTTTTGATAGATTGGAAATATGTATTTGGGTACTAGTATAGTATTATATTATCTGTGATTCGGGTATTTCTAAAAATGTTAAAAAAAATAGCACAGCGCCATCTGGAGACTTTTGAATAATACAATATTCAAAGTTATCGACACCTTAGAATGCCATTTCGTACTACTTTTAAATACGTTATTGCTCTTATAGATGGCGCTGACCATTTGGATAGTTGATGACTCAAATGTATACGTATTTATATTTTTATCAATTTATTAGCTCATATATAAGACTAGTAGCCCGATTAAAAATATCCCATAATATGTAGATAAGTAAATTAAAACGTCAATGTTCAAGTACATATCCTTACGACGTCACTTGATTTTTTATTTATTTTTTTATTTTGGAGAGTGATAATTTTATCATTATTGCATAAAAATATGCAATAATATTGATATCCCATGATCATACCAATTTGGTAATATCTGCACTGTCTTATTTATATTAGTTAGGTATACTTTAGTAATATTTCTATATTATTGTGTTTGTATACGACAATTTTCACTTTACAGGTTGAACACCAGCTTAAAAGTTTATAATGTTCATGATATATTCATAATTGTGTTGGAATTCAGTATTGTATTGGAATAATGTAATTGTAAAACATTTATAATTAAATTTTCTCAGTTATCGCTCCAAAATGTGATATCTTTGATAACTATTGTCGAAATTTCTCGAAAAAATAATAATAACTCAAGACAAGATTTGATTGATGATGAAATTTGAATTCATTCAGTGATTATTGAGTTCTTGATTCTTGATTTTATTACTAACATAATAAAATTATAACAATCTGTAACATGAAAGGTATTTAAGCGAAATTAATATGAGAGCTCTTAATAAGACCAATAAACGCCTAAAACATAATAATGTATTTATATTTGAAAATTTAAAAAATCTTTTTTTTTATCTGAAACAATATATTTACGGTTTGGTCTTAGAGTAGTTTTATCAAAATCGATCCAGTAGTTTTTAAAACTAAATAACTTATTTTGCCAGAATTGAAGTCGGTTTTTTTTTTTTTGTAGAAAGCAATCTTAGTTATAGAAGAAGTCTATTTTATTAATTTTTTATTTTCCTACTTATTGAATCCAAATGTACAAATATAACAGGCAAGAAGCTAGTCAAAAAGCTATCAATCGATCACCCCCAGTATGTATTATGGTAACACGCGTAATCTTCTATTGCATGTTTAGAATTCTGAAGACGCATGGCCAATAAGTAAACCACGACAGTCTATCAATCAATATTAACGTAATTGCAATAACATCGAATACTGCTTTGTGTCTGAATTTAGCCAAGGCCGTTTGACATAAGTCAACAGGAAATGCATGTTTACGTAATCTAATACTATCTATTAATAGATTCGTACAACTCTTAATTGAATAATGACGTAAATATTGTATACTCTCTACAATGGAAATTTTTTTTTTTTTAAATTAACAGATATGTTTTGAACGTACAAATATAGGACAAAACAAGCATGTGAATAGAATATATGCGGGGGAAAGGGATTGTTAGCAATGGAGTTTGACATCCCCATTGCAAGCAATATGCCTTATTAGATCGACCTCCACGTGGTTCCCCCTGGAAACCATCGTGAACAATTCTTGTTGAATTCATCACGATGGGCTAACTGACCTGCTTCATCCTCACCTATCATCCTTCACTGGTGCCCCGCCGGTGTACACCGATAGCGCGGATGGGGTTACTATTCGATTATCATCCATTAAAAAAAAATAGAATATATGCGAATAAAATACAATATAAAAAATAATAATATGGCCTAACTTAAATTTCCATAATGACTACAAATAGGTTTCAATTAGTATATCCTTTCTCATGGATGTCGAAAGAAGTGATTAAGGAAACTTAATGATCGAGGCATGGGCAGCAGCGTCCCTCTTAAAACATCACCAAAGCTTTATTACGGTTGCCAAACCGCTTGCCAAGCGTGGCGACTTCTGGTAAACCACATAATAGGAGAAGATTATGTTCAGCAGTGGACAGTCAACGGCTGATACAATATTTATGAGTTAAGCATCAAACATACCTATTATATAATATGTATATTTTACACATATTGTTATTTTAGACATTATTTTTATTGTTAGTTTTTACGTTTGATTACACATAATTTTAACAGATTTAAAAGAGTAAATATTGAGTTTCATGTCGGTTCTTCTCAGTAGAAAACAACATTCCGAACCCTGCAGAAGGTTCATAATTTTATTTTAATTTAATAGATCATCGTTTTTTTTTTTTTTTAATTGGCACAACCAAAAAAAATACAATCGAATTTTGATAAAATAGAACATCAGATAAAAGAAGAATTTTTCTTGAAATCATAAAAAAATGTTGAGAAATTGAAATCGGTTGAAATTTTTTTTTTTTTTAGACTGAATAGGTATAATGGTACAAACACATAGAATACAGCTGAAAGGTAAATATAGCCACAACTTCAGCATACTTAGGTTGTGTGCCTACAAAATTGAAAGCAAATAAAGTCTGAACACAAACTGACAAGTCAAGGAAAGTGCTAGCTGTCACCTAGACAACCTATTAATGTTACCTATAAATGCGAAATTCTGGAATGATGGATTCGTGTTTACCACTCTTTTGCATAAAAATTACTGAATGGATTTGAATGAAATTGGCGGCACGGGTAGATTATATCCTAATTTAGTACATCGGATGCTTTATCTGCTGATTTTCGTGAAAGAAGCCGCGTGATACAGCTAGTAAAAACGAAAGCCAACTCAAATTATGCTCTACCGTTCATACTCTTACTTCTAGTTAGAGATTCCACTTACTATCTTACCCTCCAGGAAGAGGAGATTTGATTGGATAGATTAGTATTATAGATTAACAGCTATTTCTGGAAATATTTTATTGCTATAGAAATTGTTTTCCATTATTTTATTGTTAACAATGCACCCTGTCATATCGACCTCCACATGCTCTCCCTTTGAAATAATCGTGGTGAATTCGACTGATGCCTTCATCTTCATCTATCATCGCTCAATAGTACACCGTCACCATAAACCAGCACAAGCAGGATATTAATGTTCTTCCATTAAAAAATGTTTTACTCGTACTGAAGTAAGGTGTTATTTTTCGGAAATCCATATCATTGATTAATCGATTAGAATTACTTTGTTTAATTCCGTTGCCATTAACAGTATAGTATTATATTATCTGTGGTATTAGTAAATATACGTGCAACTGGTAACATTTGAGGATTGACTTCTATTGTTATTAGTAGAAATTCTACATCCTTTCGTATATCACCACGTTTTACCAGAGGGAGACTTTGTCCCATTCGTGTTTCAACCGTGAAGCAGTTATGTTTGCATGCCTGTGTTCCGGTTTGAAGGGTGGGATATGGCGTGAATTTACAGGGTACAGAGGAATAACACCTGAGTCCTCAGGAATGGCAACGCATGGGGGGTATCATGGGCGAAACAGTATACTCTGTTGTCCATGGTACTGCTCATGTCTGTAGGCGACGGTTACCACTTTCCACCAGGTGGGCCGTCAGCTTGTTTGCCATTCTAAGTTGTATAAAAAAAACCATATAAACCATTGACTGTCCAATACTGAACATAGGTTTCCCCTTATTTATTTATTAACCCCCAAGGGTTTAGCCAGTAGCTACCACGCTTGGCAGGCCGATTGGATAACCGCAATTAGGTTTTGGTGATGTTTTAAGAGGGACGCTGCTGCCTATCCCACAATTAGTTCCCTTTGTCGCCTCTTACGATACCCACGGTAAAGGCAAGGGTGGCCTGTTCTACCTACCTACCTTCCATATTAGCCATTAATCTAATATGGAACGTCGTAGAGCTTCTACTGATTATAACAGTAGTCAATTCTCAAATGTTAACAGTTACGTAATGAAACCGGAGTATAACTGAAGAATTATAATCTACTAACAAGTTAAAATGCATAAATGTTAAACAATGTAAGCACATATTTTAAATACACTATCGGGACTTAACGCAATGAAAAATCTTTGCAGGTAAATAAAGGAAACGTTGGCAATAAAGAAGCAGGTATATAGGCATTATTTACCTGCAAAGATTTTTCATAGCGATAAGTACCGATAATGTATTTAAAATATGTGTAAACAGCACGAAAGTTTAAAATCAACTAATATGAGCACTGTTTCATATGCAATGTAATATGCATTGAATTAAAAACCATTCGTCAGATCGATAATTTTGTTTAAACTTAATATACCGTTCTCGTACCGTCATTTGGATATGTCTTAGCCCAAATATCTAACGAATTGTATTAAACTACCAGAGGGAGACTTTGTACAAAAGTTGATTGCTTGATTACCTCTGTACCATTTGTGTTTCAACCGTGAAGCAGTTGTGTTTGCATTGCTGTGTTTCAGTTTGAAGGGTAAG